GAAAGGGGAAGTTTCAGCGGAAAGGGGAAGTTTCAACGGAAAGGGGAAGTTTCAGCGGAAAGGGGAAGTTTCAGCAGAAAGGGGAAGTTTCAGCGGAAAGGGGAAGTTTCAGCGGACCAAGGGGAAATTTCACAGAAAAGGGGAAGTCCTACCGGGAATGGGGAAATCCTACCGGAATAGGGAAGTCCTACCGGGAATGGGGAAGTTTCATCGAAAATAGGGTAATTTCTACCCCCTTTGCGAGGAAACTTCCCCAAAACTATTCCCTAGTGGTAGTTCCTATCTAAAATAAGTTCCCGCTAATTACTGGGCCACTGAAGGAGTTTAATAAGGAACTGATGACAGATTTTTTTGATAAATGAAATGTTTACGTATTTATCTTTTGAAAAATGTGTACGTTTGATATATTTCCATGTCTGTATGCGGATTTGCTCAGGGGCAAAATGTCTGGGGGCGTTTCTGTTTTGGGTCACCGGTTTTGCTTGTAAACTTCCGGTTGTCAACTTCTTGACGATGTGACACTCCAATTACTCCCATAACATGAGAGGCCGCTGGTCGGCCTTTTTTCAACCGGATATGATTTTGCCGACTGCGACTCCAATATGCCACTAAACTTACCAAAAAGTCATTTTGTAGCCTTTGCAAGGTATGTATTTATGAATCTAGACAGTTGTCATTTGTTTTGAACTTCAACTATTAAAGTTATTTAAATGTTTAGTAATAACATATAGTAAATGATTTAGTTGTGCGAGTCCTGAAACGATCGAGTTCCGAACCTTTGCCCGAGGTCCAGATGATACCTGGGGTTATCGCCCCGGCTTCCAAACGACATGGTTTGATCAGCATATATAGATATCTCCATATCTCACCTCCATAACATCTAGGTAGTTATGCACCTCTCTCAACCGTTGGGCATATGCTTGAGGCGTTATTTTTTATGTAAAAAATATCAAACAGTCACTCCCTCAATCAACTTAGGCCTAGCTCTTTTCAGCTGCTTTTCCTTGATGTCGAAACCGGATATTCTTTTAGTGTTCTAAATCAAACTCGGTGATCTTTCATGTATCCGGAACAACGTCAACTATATATATATATTTATTAAAGCATATAATTATATTGCTATTTCATAATGATTGTAACAAATAATAAAAATAGTAAAAGGACACAAAATATTTGAGATGGTCAGGATGTTTGCAATGCATGTTCTTATCAGATGGACAATTTTGTTAGTCCGGCTCCACCTTCGAAATTTATATCTTCAAATTCACCGGAAGTTGCATGTTTGCAAGAAGCAGACAGATTATTGACAGTAATTCGACAGATTACTGTTGACAGAGTGGTTGTAACAATTAGTTTGATATTCATCAGTAAATATGTTCAAAAAGTAAGTGTCAATATTTCTTTGTCGCGTAATATAGACATGATTTTTAAGCTAATATTTTCCGATATTTAGCCGGCACAACATTCCCGCATGGTGTAAAAAGTAAACTTATTAGATAGATACACCACAAACTTAGATAATCTAATTCTGTGGATACATCTTATGCTTTTATATTCTACTGCTTACAAGGGTTTCGTTAAGCTTTTTATCAGAAAAGTGTCATTTGAAAACAGGATTTGATGAACACGCATAACTTTGAAGGATTCAAATGTCCAGTGTACATCTCATTGCAGATTTGAAGACAAGGAGTGTGTAACAGGGGTGAACCAGGCCAAGTCTACAGTACAGAAGGGAATCAGGGCATCACTTCTAAAAATTTATCCACACATCAAAGATTACATAGACCAGATCGTACCAAAAAAGGGAGATCTTAAAGTTGTCAAATGGTAACAGTTTTTCTCTGTAACATAATTTCAAGTCTACCAAATTTGTTTACACAGTGCACGTGCTAGTTATCCATAATTGTGGTATTGTTTGTCAAATAATTGCCATTTAATACTCAGAGGTTCAAGTTCAATGAGTTTAATTTTTAGAAATATGCGTACAGTTGACGATAACAAAACGTTCTATAGAGAATTCACTCTCCCATATTGGTTCCAACAAAGCAAGTAGAGGCTTTAGAATAACAGATATGAGATAATACTATGCTATATGAAATAACCTAAAGTTCTGTTTTATGTGTCTCACTTATTCAGAGAAAATTTTTTAACTGATCCAGAGAAATATAATATGTCTCTGACTGATCTCGCTATTTTGCATCAGAAAGGTATGGCATGTATGATTCCTCTGTCATGAAATTTTTAATACAAGTGAACATTCAAAGTTCAATTATTTTAAGTCAAATGCATGAAACTAAGATATGCCATGTAAAATTATTACAGATAGAAAATTAATAATATGATCAAATCAGGCTGGAGCATGTTCTTTTGGTTTATTTAAAAAGGTAAAATATGATTATCAGGTTTTTTTTGTGTTTTGTTATAAAATATTTGTTAGCTGGCTTTGAAAATAAGCAGTGAATTCCTTTCAAGGGTACTTCGGCTAGATAAAAATGCTGATTGTGTCCTTTTACCCTAATTTCCTATTTGTTTGTGCTGACCCTAGTATCTTAAGGCAATGTTAAAAGAAGCACTTGCTGAATTTTTATTTAGAGTCATGTTTGTAACAATGAAACTTTAGCTCAGAAGAGCTATTCTTACAACTATATATAACAATCAAAATTAATAGAAACAACAAAATATCACAAAGGTAGCATGCATCACAGATAGTTGAATAAAAAGCAAAAAAGCACGGAAAGATTAAAGGTCATGCAAACATAAAGCTCATGCAGCATATAAATTAATTTAAGGGACGTTTCAGTCTAATGTACATATATATGCCAATATGGCAAAAACTAAAAATTGACAGAATACATGCTAATATACATAATCTAAAACAACAATGCAAACATTTATGAAACAATAATTAGGAATTTACAGCTTATAAAAGAAACATTACACAAAAGAAAGTAAGCAGCACTAAGAACTAAAACTTATATATGACAACTATTTCTGGAGCAATAAAAGGAAAAACAAGAGCCAAATAATCAATCTTTCATCTTTGTACATATGGATCTTCCCAGGTGTGGACCAGCCTCCGGAATTCTTGGAAGTATTCACATCTCCACAATTCGTTTGGAAGACTGTACCACACCCGGACCACCTCAAACGAGAAAGATTTCATACCTTGTAGTTTTTACAGATGGGATGCTGACTGTGAAGTCCCTTCTGAAATCATAAGCAGATTCCTTGAGTTTTACCAAGTCAAGTATATAATCAGGAGAAATCTTGTGTAGTTGAAAAACTTCACAGCCCACATCTTTTAGCCTCTTAACTTGTAAAAGAGTAGTATTAGTAGATTTTAAAAGCTGACTAAAAGATGAGACATAATTACTCTCCACGAATCTCACTCCCAGTGCACGCTCCTGAACCTTTTCAATCTTCCTCACATTTCTCAAGCTGGTAAAGTGCCAAACTAGTGGGCAGAAATGAAAACTGGATATAATAAAAGAATTTATGATTCTCCTAGAATTATCTGTATAATTTGAAAAATAAACTGTATTACCTTCCTACCCGTATTAATCCCCTACCGGTGAAACCGGGGGGGGGGACTATAGTTTTCCTCTCCGTCTGTCTGTGTACGTAACACTAATGTTTGTCAGCACTCTAGCGGCTTCATTCCTTGAAGGATTTTGATCAAACTTCACACAAATACCAAGGACCATAATATCTCGAAAACGTTCAAATTTCAGGGTTGTTGGGTCAAGGTCAAAGTCACTGTTACTATTTTTAGAAAATCCTTGTCAGCACTCTAGCGGCTTCATTCCTTGAGGGATTTGGATCATGCTTCATACAATTACAAAGGACCATTATATCTCGGACAAGTTTGAGTTACAGGGTTGTCGGGTCAAGGTCACTGTTACTATTTTGAGAAAATCCTTGTTAGCGCTCTAGCGGCTTCATTCCTTGGGGGATTTGGATCAAACTTCACACAATTACATTTAATACCACAAAAACGAAAGCAATAACATATAAGTCATTTTATTTTATATAATCCCTCTGCATAATACTAACATTACAATTTCTTGTATTATTATTACTACATTAAAATCAGTTACAAGCTAATTGTATACTTTTCATTTTCCCAAATTAACCCCAAAGGGCACCATTTTTATAAATCATTAGTGTAATAGCTAGCAGGGGCCGGTAGGGGACATGTATTGCTTTATTAATACTCAATACTCAGTATGCTTGTTTTTTCAGACATCTAACAGGAAACAAACCTGTGTTTTTTTTGTTTGATCTTACATTTGCAGTCTAAAGTGTACTCATTAAAAATAATTAATGCCCAATTTCTATCACAAAATTGATAAAATATTTTGTTCTCTTTCAGTCGTGAGCACATAGAAATACTGGCCAGTGCTAAAGGAGAACCATTGTTTTTCCGTCATAGAGAAGACAAATATGTACCAGCTCTAAAGCTGTTACACAAGTGTAAGTTTAGGAGCTGGTCTGTACTGAGATCATATGTGTAATAAAAAGTAGGCTCTATAGTATTGATATCCATTAGTTCTAGAAGTTGTTAGAAAATATATATGGTTACTCATTAAGAATGACTTAATAATATATGATTCCATTTTAAATCTTTATACTTAATTCTTAAGTATATATACTACATATATAAGCTTTTTTCTATCCTTATTTTCTTAAATTCAGAAATAGTGATTTCATGGGGTTTTTAACGACCCAAATAGACATGTGTAAAATAACAACACAAATGGACTTGATCCCATACAGATTAACAAAGCGGTTTTGTTCATGTCCCTGACTGTAGTTTTCCTTGCTCAAGCACTTACAAAGCTTGCTGAGTTGTGAAAATCTAGCTGAAGGAGAGCTACAGATGATCACATCCAGTTCTGTTTTCATAAAGGTCATACAGTATCACTGAACAGCTCTCTGTGTCAGGCTAAGAAAAGGCAATTCTCCAGTCTCTCATCAAAATGTAATTTATCTGTTAATTGGGATTTTCATCTCATTCTTGACAGTTTTATTTAAACGGTACAAGTGTTCACAATGTGCACCATGTGCACCATGTGCACATGCTGCTTTTGGTGCGTTCTTATGTGCAGGCCCACAACTGTATTGATTATGTAAAGTTAGTATCAAGAGAGTTGAAAATTTAGCTTGTGTGACTACTATGATGAGAGAATGTTGTGTTGCCTATTTCAGTCCCCTTCCTTGCCCCACACATGCAGGTGGATAAAGGTGCCATCCGTTTTGTGTTGAGTGGTGCCAACATCATGTGTCCTGGACTTACCTCCCCTGGAGCACGGATGACCAAGGTTGATGCTGACACTGTAGTCGCTATCATGGCTGAGGGCAAGGAGCATGCTGTGGCTGTCGGCATAACAAAAATGTCAACAGATGAAATGTATGTGTAAATGCTTTGTTAAGTTAAGTCAAGTTAGTTTGGGAAAGAAGGAAAATGATGCGTACGGTACTGTTAAATGTAGAGTTAAAATATTCCGGTAACTATAGGGTTGATGCCTTCTGATAAACATAGGGTTTATACATACTGCATACTGTAGAAGTGTTCAGATGTCTCGTATTAACTGTAGAGTTAAGGCCTAGTAGAATGGTTCAGATGTCTAGTGTTAACTGTAGAGTTGGGGCCTAGTAGAAGTGTTCAGATGTCGCGTATTAACTGTAGAGTTAGTAGATGTGTTCAGATATCTCTTGTTAACTGTAGAGGTGGGGCCTAGTAGATGTTTTCAGATATCTAGTGTTGATTGTAGAGTTAGGGCCTAGAAGAAGTGTTCAGATATCTATTGTTAACTGTAGAGTTGGGGCCTAGTAGATGTGTTCAAATATCTAGTGTTGATTGTAGAGTTCGGGCCTAGTAGAAGTGTTCAGATATCTAGTGTTAACTGTAGAGTTGGGGCATAGTAGATGTGTTCAGATATCTGTTGTTAACTGTAGAGTTGGGGCCTAGTAGAATATCTGTTGTTAACTGTAGAGTTGGGGCCCAGTAGATGTGTTCAGATATCTCGTGTTAACTGTAGAGTTGATGCCTAGTAGAAGTGTTCAAATATCTAGTGTTAACTGTATAGTTGGGGCCTAGTAGATGTGGTCAGAGATTTAGTGTTGACTGTAGAGTTGGTGCCTAGTAGATGTGTTCATATATCTAGTGTTAACTGTAGAGTTGGGGCCCAGTAGATGTGTTCAGATGTCTGTTGTTAACTGTAGAGTTGGGGCCTAGTAGATGTGTTCAGATATTTAGTGTTGACTGTAGAGTTGGGGCCTATTAAATGTGTTCAGATATCTGTTGTTAACTGTAGAGTTGATGCCTAGTAGAAGTGTTCAGATATCTGTTGTTAACTGTAGAGTTAAGGCCTAGTAGAATGGTTCAGATGTCTAGTGTTAACTGTAGAGTTAAGGCCTAGTAGAATGGTTCAGATGTCTAGTGTTAACTGTAGAGTTAAGGCCTAGTAGAATGGTTCAGATGTCTAGTGTTAACTGTAGAGTGGGGCCTAGTAGAAGTTTTCAGATATCTAGTGTTAACTGTAGAGTGGGGCCTAGTAGAAGTGCTCAGATATCTGTTGTTTACTGAACAGTTGGGGCCTAGTAGATGTGGTCAGAGATTTAGTGTTGACTGTAGAGTTGGGGCCGAGTAGATGTGTTCAGATATCTATTGTTAACTGTAGAGTTAAGGCCTAGTAGAATGGTTCAGATGTCTAGTGTTAACTGTAGAGTTAGGGCCCAGTAGAATTGTTCAGATATCTGTTGTTTACTGTAGAGTTGGGGCCTGGTAGAAGTGTTCAGTTTTTTGTTTTTAACTGAAGAGTTGGGGCCTAGTAGGAGTGTTCAGATATCTAGTGTTAACCGTAGAGTTGGGGCCTATTAGAAGTGTTCAGATATCTGTTGATAACTGTAGAGTTGGGGTCTAGTAGAATTGTTCAGATATCTAGTGTTAACTGAAGAGTTGGGGTCTAGTAGAAGGGTTCAGGTATCTGTTGTTTACTGAACAGTTGGGGCCTAGTAGAAGTGCTCAGATATCTGTTGTTTACTGAAGAATTGGGGCCTAGTAGAAGAGTTCAGATATCTAGTGATGACTGTAGAGTTGGAGCCTAGTAGAAGTGTCCAGGTATCTGTTGTTAACTGTGATATCTAGTGTTAACTGTAGAGTGGGGCCTAGTAGAAGTTTTCAGATATCTAGTGTTAACTGTAGAGTTAGGGTCTAGTAGAAGCGTTCAGGTATCTGTTGTTTACTGAAGAGTTGGGGCCTATTAGATGTGTTCAGATATCTATTGTTAACTGTAGAGTTAAGGCCTAGTAGAATGGTTCAGATGTCTAGTGTTAACTGTAGAGTTGGGGCCCAGTAGAAGAGTTCAGATATCTAGTGATGACTGTAGAGTTGGGGCCTATTAGAAGTGTTCAGATATATGTTGTTAACTGTAGAGTCGGGGCCTAGTAGATGTGTTTAGATGTCTAGTGTTTACTGTAGAGTTTGGGTCTAGTAGAAGTGTTTAGATGTCTAGAGTTTACTGTAGAGTTGGGGTCTAGAAGAAGCGTTCAAGTATCTGTTTTTAACTGTAGAGTTTGGGTCTAGTAGAAGTGTTTAGATATCTGTTGTTAACCGTAGAGTTTGGGCCTTGTAGAAGTGTTCAGATATCTGTTGTTTACTGAAGAGTTGGGGCCTAGTAGAAGTGTTTAGATGTCTAGTGTTTACTGTAGAGTTGGGGTCTAGTAGAAGTGTTCAGATATCTGTTGTTAACTGTAGAGTTTGGGCCTTGTAGAAGTGTTCAGATATCTAGTGTTAACTGTAGTGTTGGGGTTTAGTAGAAGTGTTCAGATATCTGTTGTTTACTGTAGAGTTGGGGCCTAGTAGAAGTGTTCAGGTATCTGTTGTTAACTGTGGAGTTGGGGCCTAGTAGAAGTGTTCAGATATCTGTTGTGAACTGTAGAGTTGGGGTCTACAATTAACTTTCAAGTTTCCTACTTCATTTTAAGTGCTTCAATACAAAAAGAATTTTCATTCATTTGTAAAAGTTTGATTAGAATATATTTTCTGATAACCAGTATCAAGATATAAAACTAAAAACAAATATCAGTTTGCTTTGATAAATTATAAATCTTATACTTTTATTTGAATTATAGTAGAGTTTATATTTGGCATAAAAACTATTTGGAGATGCACTGATTATATCAGATAAACAAACTAAATACTGTATCACTTACCTGAGTTGATGCTTTTTCTTTACTGCATGACATGTTCTTAACTGGAATTGGTTCTCTTTATAAACAATCTGTTGAAATGCTTTTCTTTTATGCCCAATTATGTGAAGGAACTTATTATTATCCACGCTAAACAAAAACATGTTTTTTATGGTTTCAGTTTGGAGAAAAATAAAGGAATCGGTGTGGAAAATATTCACTATCTAAACGATGGACTATGGAACATGAAGAATGTAAAATAACAAAACCCATCTGAAGGAAATAATCTGCTTTATAAGGAGCCTGTTGGATGAGCGTGCCAACCTGGAGTTAGGCCCTGTAAGGTCCAACCCACCTGTGGTGTTCACAGAACCTGGTTGTTCTCTCAGATTTTATAAATAAGTGACATCAATTATGTTCTTGGAAGGCATATATTTATGATGATTATATTCTTACTGTCAATTTCCAAAAATGTAATTGATATTAACTTTTACTTCTTTCACTATCAGTAACCTTTGAGTTTGAATGTGAATAGATCCCTGGAGAGATAAAGGAGAACACAGGTGCTCTAAGTGGTTCTACTTTTCATACATTGGATAATTATACTAATTGTCCGATTAACAGGTCTGCTAAATAAACTGATAAATGCTGATAAAGTTATTTTTTAGAAGGACTGTTCATAACATATGATATAAAAAGATTTGTATGATATGGTTGCTAAGAAAATGTCCATGTATATGTTACATTTGTATCAGAAGGTTTCTTATTTTTGTTTTTATTAGGAAAATAACTCCTTAATTATGTACATGTAATGTGCCCTAGTGCCAACTTACTACCACAAGCTTCACCATTACGGAATAATGCCACTCTTAAAAATTTGTATGACTAACTTAACAATACTTTATGACAGGTGTGCATACCTGCTCTGATAGCACTTAAGCAAATGAGGATGAATAGACAATAGTAGCTATATTTTTGTAAAGGGAGATAACTCTATCAAAATCTGGGTTATCAACACAATTCAATAGGCCAGACCTATCTTTTTTTGTCAATATCTTAAATTATTATGTTCTTGCATCAGGTGGAGTAGTTACCATTGATTATGAATTTAAAAGGAGAGATTATCTGGTTTTGTTGCAAAATGTCTAACATATGTCACAGAATGGAATTAACTATGTCATTCTGAATACAAAATCTGATACTATTTGTGTCTTGTTATAATATGGAAAACATGCAACAATCTGGAATGACATAACTAATCAGAAGTAAAAGTCAGTGATTGTGATTTCAGATGTATACACATATTGACTTCTGGACATAGCAAGTAGCCAAGGTGACTGATATTATCTACCACTGTAAAACATGCAAGTAGCCAAGGTGACTGATATTATCTACCACTGTAAAACATGCAAGTAGCCAAGGTGACTGATATTATCTACCACTGTAAAAACATACCCTCATCATATCACTTCTAGATTGTACCAGATTCATTGTAAAGAATTGCCACTCTTTCTGTAAGCGGATTTTAATTTGCTTAGCCTTAAACTTATGTGTAAATATATCCACATGCATGATTGGCATTAACCTGTGTAAAATCAGCACTTTAAGATAATATCTCCAAGGAATGGCCAAGTCAATACTCTTTGTATTATGTGTGTCGGCAAAGCGATTGATATACACGGACCATCATCATCGTCAGTCTAGGGTAAACGACGCTCACTACTGCTGCACGCAACCATTTCGTTGAGACCGGTGCAACTACTTCCGTCCATATTTGGAATTAGAGTATAATGATCGCTGATCAATCAGCCGTAGGTTTTGCAACTTGTCAGTGATTAATAGGCAATTGTATACCGCAGATACGACGGAACTAATGTTTGCAACTGGTTGAGACCTAACGGTGACTGCTCAGTGAATCTTCGGTGACTTGTTGAAACTTTATAGCTGAAATAAGGTAGCTTCTGACGACGAGACATCTTTTATATAGAGGAGGCCGGGTTTTAATTTTAGTACTAGTTAAAACTAAAAGGGAAATACTCTGTGATTAGATGTTGATCGATCATCGATCAAAACATAATGCGTATAAAATGGTGCTTTTCTGAATCAGATCATTTCCTTGCAAGTATTCAAGATCTAAACAACAGAAAACTTGCAGTTGCTCTGCCTGCAAAGAATAAGTCAGAATGCTGCAGTTGCTGCCATGATGGAGTACAGAAGAATGAGGGGGACGAGGCAGTATTGGCCGAGACATTTCATCGCAAGTAGGCCACAGCTAGGAGACTGAATATTGAATGGAGAGAAAGTCGTGGTGTTTTCTCCTTATGACAACAATGATGCTGTTATGCACACACATTTTATAGACGTCAACATGATGCAAACCCGGCGTCGAACGATCGACGCACACTCGGAAACCATGTGTACCTCTTAAACCGATTGGCAGCCAGTCACCGATCAGTTATCAATATACCTATATTTTCAGTTGAATTTGAAGATATTGTCAGTTCAGTTGAAGGTAGACGTCTTTTATCTTATTCGTACATATCTTCAATTTTTGCACCTATTTTCAATAACTTTTAAGAAAGGTACAATGGAATCAGATCTATCTTCAATTGAACTAAAGGTATTTTCAATTAAAAGACATCTCCGAAATTACATGTAAGTAAAGATAGAATCTTCAATTGAATTCAACTTATCATTAATATCAATAATTCAAATAAAGATATGCTTTTAATTTATCTTCTTTGTGCATATGGAAATAAGTAAAGTTTAATTGGATCTACGCCTCAATTTATCAATATATATATATATATATATATTCGCGGAATAAGATTAATTAGTCCTACTATCTAAGTCCGTGGTCCTACTTAGCGCTATTTATAAGGCCGTGATATATTCACGTGTTATACGCAACATTGTAATGGACCATTATCTTACGGAGTGGCATGATAAGAGGTATGGAAACAAATGAACAGTGTGGAAACAAACTTCGTACAAGTGGGGAGTTTACACCAACCTTTGGTAAAGGGACCTACATGTATCTATAGCTATTTAAAGTGAACCCTGAACGTTTTGCTATAACAAGCTATGAAAATACTTCCTATTACACAATAAAACAGGCTCAGAAAGTGCGAACGTAGTAGTTGACATTGTGATTTATCTGAAAAACATATGGGTTTCCCACATCTGTGACGTCAAAGTTCAACGCTGTCATCTCCTATTAGGCTAGGAATATTGTGTTTTGAGGACAAACAAATTGCAATAAAAAAAAATCACTGCAATGCATTTAAGTAAGGTCCCCAAAATGACTTACTAAAAGTCTGAAAAAATCCGGGTGGTGGAAGTGTGTCTAATTTACATAAATCCAAAATGGCCGCCAATTCTACTGGTTTTCTCCTAGATTTAGTCAAAATGTTCACCTTACATACCTTTTAGAATACTTTTAGTGTACTTTGAATGTCTAAAATGTTATTTTCAAGAATCCTTTTGCTTGCACAAGGTTTCATGTGCCTAATTGAGTGTCTTAATTTGCATAAATTCAAAACGGCTGCCAATTAAGGAATTTGGTTGTGTAGAGAATTGATTAATATCAGAATAATTGCGACAACACTTATTCATGTTGTAAAATATTTTTAAATTTTCAAATAAATCATGATTAGGTTCTTTAGTTTGCATAAACACATACATATCCACAATGCATTCCAGAGCAACTATAATATATGTTTATATTGGTTTAAAATCTAAGTTCAGTTATTACAGTTGTTAGTCTCCAACAAACATACATTTATGTGGCACGTTGGTCAGTAGTAGAATCAAGTTCTAGGTCTGGTGTTGGTGAGTTGGTGCAACTAGTGCCACGACAATCAGTGCAGGCTCTGTTGAACATTGGAGATCATACTTCCGGCACGTGCTTTTCTTGGTTGCACAGTCTTTCTTGCATCCACATCTGATGACTTTAGGGAGTGATGCTGGTGCTGGTGGTTTATCAGTTTGTATTGGAAGATACTTCCCATCCGTGACCTGCCAACCCCAGTCTCCCGGTGTCAGGTCGTCTGCCATTCCTTTCCGTTCTAATATTTGATAGTACACACGCTGACTGTGGAATTTTGCTGCTGCTGAAGTTGGTGGCAAAGTCTTTGCTTCTAAGGCAGACGAGATTGATGATAACTTTACGGAATATCTTCTGTACCTCAAAGAATCTAGATCTTCTGTTGAGACACCACCATACAGGAATACAAGTGCCTTCTCTCCAGCTGTAATAATGGTCTCCTTCAGGTCTGATGCTGGCTGACTAAACACCTTCGCAAGCTCACAGAAGTCGTCAATCTTCTTGATTTTCTTCAGTGCTACGCCTTTCCCTAGTCCAAATACGCGAGACGTTGTGTCGCAGCCCAGAAGCGCATGGACTACTTTATTGAGTTTCCTTCAGCAGCTGTTTGATATTCCCTGTTCGATTCTTCTTGGAGTTTGCCTTTGGCTCAGGTGCAAAAAAAGACGTCCTTTGCATTCAGATCAGCAAGATGAGAAGGTCTTTGTCATCCCCGACAAGAACTCTGTCTTTAAACTTAGCTGCTTCTACTGCTGTAGTTACAATTAAGAGATCTGCATCTCCTCTTGCATCTGTTACAGTGCAACCATGCATTTCGAGCTTGGAACTGAGTAGGTTTATGAAGCGTTGCTTGTTAACTTCATTTGCAAGAAATTCGTCTTTCTTGGATTTGATTACCATGTCCTCTGCAAAGTTGACAGTCAGGCCTAGACAACCTCCTGATCGTCTAAGATGTGTTGCGTCCTTGATTGAGGGACCGCCTTGATAGCCATCAAAAACACCTGTTGGCCTTCCATATTTGCTGCTGACATAATTGACATATAGCTGGCATATGTTGTTGAAAGTGCTCCCACGTGGCCAAGGAAAGTGGTGAAGAAGAGCACCACCATCCAAAACATAATGAACATTACCACTGGGTAGTGTCTGCTCTCGGGTCAGCTCATATTCAAACACCTTCCAACGTGCATCTGCTGGGACTGGTTTGTCGGCCTCTCGGGAGAGACATGAGGATTCAAACAGGGCAGGTGGTGACTGCATAACTCGTAGCTGAAAACTGATGCTAAAGTATCTTCACGTTCTCTACTGACAATGACCAGTCTCTGGAAAAGGAGCTGTGGGTTCACATGAACAGATTCATCGCCGATCTTTACAGCAGTCCTAATTACCTAATTACTATTTTTTTCTCTTATTTTGTGTGTGTTTATGTATGAATAAGCCTGAGAGGACCTTGTTGGTAGGGCTTTCCCCAACCATTGGAAATCTCAGGATTCCCAGGCATTCTAATTATTTGTATGATTTGCTGGTAACGAGACCATTCTTTCTGTATTTACTAAACTAATACAATATTCATTAACTTCTCTCTTCATCTCTGTAGTTAACTGATGTATTTATGTCATTGAAGTATCAATTAATAATATTTGATTTGTATTTTGACTACACTGTACACTTTTGTAACTCTTCAATTTAGAGGAAATAAAGAAATAATAATGAAGCATTGGAGCTACCCTTAGTCCTTACATCGTCTACTGCTATACATGTAGCTAGCTTAAAATAATTCAAATAGCTGAATTTACCTTTTATCAGATTCATGATGTTTTCCTTCGAACTGGTTTATGTCCATGTCAATTCCTGCTACAACTACAGTACAACCAGTATCACATCAACAACTACAGCCCCCGTCCTATTGATGTAGGCTCGTGTGTGGGCTTGCCTTGCGTAGATCGGCTATCAAGAAAGTTTCTCACCTCTCTAAAGTAAACTGTTGCACTGAGAACAACTTCTAACCAATCCAACGACCATGAGGATAATGCTAGGTACAGCCTGTATGTACGGATACTCTAATAGCGCCACATCTCAGCTCTACAAGTTGAAAAATATGACAAAACCTATGTGTAAATCTTAATATATCGGGGGCCATTTTGGATTTATGAATACTGCGATGCACAATTAAACAAGATATGCCTCTGTGATATATAAAACATAGTACATTCATATAAATGTGAAATTTGTGCTTTTAAGTGCCTCAGAATCTACCTATGATAAGAAATGCAACTCGATCTCGGTGAAAATCATCGAAATAGCGGCCATATTGGATTTATGCAAATCAGGCACACTTCCACTACTTGAATTTTTTCGGACTTTTCGGTAGCCATTTAGGG